CATCGGGGGGGTTGCTGCACTTGTCCATCACAAGGCAGCAACCTGGCCTTGGAGCAGCCAACTACTCTACGGGGGAAGGGGCTGTGCCCGCCGAGTGCGGAGCAGCCGCCGATCCGCTCACACCGAAGGCCCAGAGCTGGGCTCGCTGGCATGGCGCCTCCGTCCTGCTCCTGGGGATGGCACCAGGCCACAGGCCATTGGTCCTGTGGTCACACGCAGAGTTCCCAAGCTGCAAGACAGAGCAGAGAGGGGGTCAGGCCATTGTTGTGTGGCATTATTGCTCTGCGTTTATTCCTGCGGCAAATGGGTGGGTGCCCTGGGCAGGATGTCCCCAGCTGCCCTGGGTGCTGCATTGGTGCTCCCCCACATCATCTCAAAGCACTCACCTCTCTGGGGACTCTGACACGGTTGTCATGGCTGGGTGGGTCGTCTTCCCAAAGAAGAGTGGCCGGGGTCAGACTTGGGCAGACCTGGAGGACAGCACATGTCAGGGTGAGTCCAGGTCAGCGCAACCTGGACAGCCCTGCAGCCACCCCAGTCTCATCCCATAGGAGCAGATGGGTCACCTCCAGTAAGATTTGCAGTGGAGGGACTGGGAGCAGAGTCCTCCCACGACCCTGAACGAGGGAACGAGTGGCACTTACCCGGGGGGTGGGGGATGACCTCCCCAGAGTACTCCGAGCTGCCACAGGAGCTGTTGCTGGATGTTGAGCTCAGGCGCCCTGTGGAGAAATCAGGGCCATCAGAGCCAACACTGACCCTTGGACATGCCATGAGAAACAAAGCACAGCTTTGCTGTGGCTGTCCCTGGGTGACACAGCTCAGTCTCATCAATAACTCCAGTACTTGCCCAGCTTTAGTGCCAGGTCAATAAAAACCCCTAGCAAGGGAATACTGGTGAGATTCCAAGAGGAGGGAGCACAAAACCACCTAAACAGCTCTGCAGAACACCTGCAACCCCAAGGACATAATTTAGTGGTTTTGGGAAGCATCTGCAGATGACTTGAGGCCAAGGGGATGCAGATTCCTGTGTATAATCCACGCAGTTTTAGTCCAGCTGCTACAAGCCTGTGGCTTGTTTCAGCTCAGGGGGAATCCTTTAATTCCCTCTGGTTTAGGCAATCCATTAAACCAGAAAGTCTCTCCCGGGGGAGGTACCAGTAGCTACCATTGCACAGACTGGTTTTGCAGCTCATTTCCACAGCAACAGTCTGAGGAGAAGCCATCACCTGCCTTTCCCTCCAACTTCAGTAACAAAGGAAGGAGAATCTTGACCCCTCATCAGCTGGTAGACACCTGAGCTCAGCTCCATTTCTGCTGGAGACACCTGGCAGAGCCCCCCACTTGCTCACCCACCATCCCAAGCCCACCCCAGTCCCCAGTTTGCCCTTACTTCTGCGGTAGTTGTGCGTGGCCATGAGCGAGCCGCTGGATGGGATGGATGCCATGGTTCCTGATCTTGGTTCTTGTGCAGATCTAAACCTGTGAGCAGAGAGGCAACTGTCAGCAACCACCTTGACCCACACCTACACCCCAGAAAGCTGCAAGGGTGACTTCTGGAGAGACTGGACACACAACCCTTCACACTGCACTAGGAATAGTGGCTGGCGCTTGCAGAGCTGCACATGGATTAAGTCCAGAGCTCCAAGAGCTCTGTGCAAAGCTAAAATAATTCCCTTGAACACAACCGCCTGCCCAGAGCACAGCCTGGCACATCCACAGAGTCCCTTCCCGACCCCACCACGGGTGTTTTCCTTGAGGGAACCCAGCTCCCCTCCTTGTATCAACAGCTGGAGTTATGAAATCCCTGGCAGAGGTTGCATAAGGAGCAAACGGAGTGTTCAGCTGGGGCACATACCGAGGGCGTTCCTGCAAGCGATTCCAGCCCGAGCCTGTCCTCAGCAGCCTCCCCGTTACCCCCAGCCGGGACAAACCTGCCCTTCACCTTCGCTGCGATTCAGCTACAGTTCTGAACTGGGGAAGTTTTTG